GAGAATATTTTTGTAATTGTTGGTAAAAAGTGATATTTTCGACTTCTTGTTAAAAAACGCAAGTTCGATTGCTTTGATATTACATATATAGGTACTACATGTGGTCCTCTCCCAGATTTGTTCATTTTGTGATGATATCTTCAATTCTCTAACTTTAATGATTGTTTTTTTTTTTACTTTTTAGCTCCTCTGTCATCGCAGATGACCCAGCAGAGCTGTTGGTATGGGGGTCTCTCCCGCGTCCTGCATGAAGTTTTGCCTTAAACAACTTCTTCTTTAAGGTAGAAGCCTACTCACAATTTTTGACAAAATTGGTCATAAATCGCATGACAATGTTCATTAGTTTATTATGTCCAATCATGAAGCTAATGTCCCATGGTACAATGAAATAGCATTATTTTGTGTGTTACAGGTATGCTTTTTGAGAAACGTGTCCTAATATTTGTTGAAAATTGCTATTTTTAGAACAATTCCATAGAACACAATGTTAAAGAAAAATTACATTTTTTGACACTTTTTAAAACCCAGATTTTTTAAATAATTCAGAACAATAAAAAGTACTCTATCATTAACAATATATGATTTTTTTTCAGCCTATGTCACCAGGCTAGATTTTGAGATATTGCATAATATCTCTGCCATAGGAACATGTGGTAAAAGTGTTATAATAGTGTCAAAATGGCGACTTTCTACTAAAATACAACCATCAATTTCTCGAAAAAAAGGCTGGTGACCCCCAACTTTTTTTAGGTCAATATCCTTATATTACCTTGGAGTACATTTTATTACAAAATGAATAAATTCTGAGTTTTTAAATTTATGAGTAGGCTTCTACCTTAAAAGTACTTGACCAATTACATTCATATTTGTACCAAAAGTGGTCCTTTGTCAGATTTGTTAAATTTGTGTCAAAATATGCAAATTTTAATTTTTTGTAAAAAATGCTATTTTCGACAACTGGTCCACAAGTCTAAATGCTTTCATATTTGCAGCAAGGATACATGGGGTGGTCCTTTGTCAGATTCATTAAATTCATCTCAAAATATGCAAATTTGGATTTTAAGTGAATATTTTTGTCATTTTTGGTAAACCGTAGTCCGAAACCGTAAGACCAAATGCTTTGATATTTACAGCAAAGGTCCTTGGGGTGGTCCTCTGTCAGATTTGTTAAATTTGTGTCAAAATATGCAAATTTGGATTTTTAGTGAATATTTTTCTCATATTCTTGTTCCATGATAACAGCGGAGCTATTTATAGGTATATAGGTACATATAGGTACCTCAGGGAAACCTCTTTCAGATTTGTTCATTTCATGATATTTTCAATTATCTAATTTTGATGAATATTTTTGTCATTTTTGGTAAAAAGTGATATTTTTGAATTCTTGTTGAGAACAGCAAGTCCGATTGCTATACATATTGTTCATTTTCTAATGATATCTTCAGTTCTTTAATTGAAATGTGCCTTGCTAACAGGGGAGCTATCTCAGCCGACAGGCTGCTTGTTTTTTTAGTGTTCTTGTACAAGTATTATATTCTATGTATTGCATTTTTGAATACAGCTTAAATTTTGTTCCTTTAATGATATGCAATCATATTGTTCCAAGCATCCACTAATTCTGTGATGCGATTAGTTAGAATTGCTTTTGATTGTTGTGCATGCAAAATAGGATAATCATTGCATTATAAAAAATATAGATTGTGAATTGTACACAATAATCTATGTACCCCCAGTGGTGGTTTGGACGGATCAAAAACCAATCCAAGTTAAACCATCAAATTATAGAAATTTTATATTTTATATTTTATATTTTACTTTTCTAAATAATTACATCATGACTATTGTGAATAGGGTGTGAAAGGGTAAACAACAATTCAACATGACCCATTCTTGGTCTTAAAAGGTGTCAAATACTTCACCTCTCAAATATTGTGAATCGCCAGATTTTTTTGTCAAAATCATTGCCAAGAAATCATATTTAAACATCGGTAATTCACTTCTACATTGCTTTGTGAAAAATTTCATCAATATTTGGAAATGCCTGGAAAATTGTGTCAGTACAACATAGCATTTTGATTGGTTAATAACAGACTTGACCTGTCAGATCAGAAGACATTGTTGCAGGTCAAATCATGCAGAAATCATTAATATCTAGTAGATAATACTAATTAATACATAGTAGATAATATTTGGTAATCATTGTCCTAAGTAACTATTAAAAATAGCTAGACGTTTCAAGCATTGGCTCTTTATCAATAGCATAGAAGAATATGTTTAAAAGTGGACATTGCTTGCATTGAGAACTTGCATACAATGAAAAATATTCAACTAAGAACTTTTGTCTGCAACTATTTTCCAAAAACCAATCAATGTTGATACCACTCATTTCACAATTGTAACCCCCCCCCAGAAAGACGTACTATTTTCCTGCTAATCTGGCACATGGTGTCTTTTGGCCATTTTTTGGAGTGAAAGTGCTCAACTAAGTGCCAACACCCTTAAAAACAAAATTTTTTGAGTCGAACGAAGTATAGTAAGATGGTGATAAATCATCACTATAAAAAACAAAAAAATAATACATGTAGTCAAAAACGGGATCATCTTCACCAGTGCAATTAATACAACAATTAGGGCACTATGTTAATTAGCACAGAATGTCAGTAGCAGTCAAACAAAATTGTAAATGACAGAAATAATTGAGATGTTAAGTTTGTTCTAGTTCAAGCCAAAAGGAAGGCAGTCCTTTTATACCCAAAAGCTCCCTCCCCAAAAATGCTTTCCTGCTGGCATAAACAAAAAATAGGCCAATGGCCTGTTGTACAACAGCTATTGTACAAAAAATTAGTACTGTATATGACAAATACCCCAAAAGGCAGTGAGTGACACAATAAAACATAATGCTAAAAGTAGAATTTTTTACAAAAATAACAGAAATATCCAATAAAATTAGATTCAAAAAGAGCTTAAAAAGAACTCCAGCGTGTTGAGAGAATAACATAACATGATATTTGCAATTATCTGAATTTGTAATACATGTATATACCAAGTTTTGTTGAAATATGTTGAATGGTTCTTGAAATAGCACCCAAATAGCTTGAATTTCACGAGCTGATATGCAAATTATCTAATTTGCATAAATTTCCACCAAAAACTAAATATATATGGAAACTGCCCCAACACATCTATGCACCAAGTTTTATTAAAACATATTAAATGGTTCTCAAGATATAACCAAAATAGCCTAAATATTGGTATGTAAATTAGGCAATTTGCATAATTTCCCACCAAAATCAATCATGTCTATACACATTTAAATATGTTGAGTGGTTATGTTTTCATTACAATCACAATAGACTAATCAAAGAAAACTTAGAACTCCCATGTGCTATGTGAGAAAGTGAGAAGAGCAGTTGACATTGGAAATAGTTAGTTGAAATTCCATTTTTAACCAAAAATGACAAAAATATTTGCCAAAATTAGAGAATTAAAGATATGGCCATGGGATGAACAAATCTAGTAGATGTCAACACAAGGTACACACACACCAAGTATCAAAGCATTCAGGCTATCGGTTTTGAAGAAGTCGAAAATAGAATTTTTGACCAAAAATGATCATTTTTAAAATATTCGTCAAAATTAGGAAATTGAAAATTTCCTTACCAAATTAACAAAACTGATAGAGGACAACCCAAGGCACATGCACTATCAATATCAGCACTGTAGACCACTTAGTGTCATAGTAGCATAGAAGAAATTTTAGAGTTTTAGGGGGCTAATTTGCATAATTTTTGGCGGATCGACTTCTCATGAACAAATTACCATCTACACTCATCAAGGCATCCACACACCAAAAATTGACATTTTTTTGCGAAGAAGTCGTGCACAGACAGACGGACGACAGACGCAGGACAAACCCATCCCATAGGCTCAGCGGACCTATAGTCCGTTGAGCCAAAAAATAGGTTTCCGGTATTTGGTATCATATGTAAAATCTATTAAAAAAACCTGAGAAGATTTCTACAGTAATTTCAATAATACAACTATGCCATTAGGACACATAGATGCTCTAAATGCATATTTTAATCAAAGAAAGCTTAGAAAGAACTCCCGTGTGCTGAGAGTATTGAAGACACATTAAAAATTAATTCAAAATTACTTGTACTTGAGACAAGCCGGTAGGCTGGTTGGCTATTCACTCCGCTCAAAAACAAGCAACATGTTTTTGGTTGTTTCCATAGTGTGACGTAAACGTGAAGCTAACGTCAGTTATAACTAAATGGGCCCATATACGAAGTTTGCAAAAAACATTCAGTCTTTGGAAGTCACTTAGTTTATTACTAGGACGTATTCTTCTGTTACATCGTTTATTATTTCCATCCGTTTTGAACACTGCTATTACAAAACCACAGTCAGCTGGCATCGGTGTCGCT